TCCGGCCGAGGTCTAATTTTCCATTTACATATAATTTCTGATAATGTTGTTTGAAGTGAAAGAATGGCAACAAAAAAAAAACATTTCAAGATGATCAGGTGGAAACATGGTGTTTAAGTTATATGGGGAACTGATAAACTTTCAGTCCAGGGGGATTTACAAAGCACCAGAGATCAGTAACTGAAGACTAGATGATATGGCTAAACATCAATAACTATGATAGAAAAGAACTTGCTATTAATCCTATGTGCTAAACTAGAAACATTTATCTAGGCTTTAGATGTTATGTCTCACACTTTTATGCTTATTGAATACCTTCGCCACTTCAGAGGTAATGACAAGTCCAAACGATTACCAACTAGTCTTTGATATGACAGAAACAAAGTAGAACTTCGTAAAACTGGAGTGACTTTAAAGGCCACCTTAACAACTGATGAGATGACCAATCAGGTTTTCGCATTTTACCTGAGAAAGTACTTTTCCTTAAAGGAATTCAATTAACTGTCTCATTAGTTGTTAAGGTGAACTTAAAAGTCGCACAAAAAGATAGAATGATAAAATAACTATTACGGAATGCCTAGTTAGTTAAATCAACTCAATGACAATGTATGAGTCACACCTACAGTGCGAGTGTTTATGCACTAAACACCTACCAATCCTGAGAAGGAATTTGACTGACTTCAAACGTCGCCCTGGCAACTGATGAAATAACCAATCAAATTTCGATATTCCGGTCAAAAAGGTAATTTTCCATAAAATAAAGAAAAGCAATTTGGTTATCACAACAGTTGCTAGGGTAGCCTTTAAATTCACTCCGGAATTCAAAGCCGTAACCCACTTGTTGAGTATCGACTATTCAAATCACCGAGTCACAACTTCATTCTAACCAATATAAATTTATGATTTTTGCAAATGAAGATATATTTTAAGGTTAACGGTAATTTTATTTTTGAGACAGTATTCATCACAGACTGATATCAGATGGAGAACCATGGGAAACCTGGGGTACTGGATAGCTGTTTTTTCCTAGTATAAGACTACTCAGCAATACAAACCCACGACACGGCTATGGATGGAACTCAGGGCCTTCAGGTTTCACGCCGAACCCGTAAACCATTCAGTCATTGGATCGAAGTTCAATCGTTCACAGTTTCCAACTTCTGTCAATTCACAATAAAGCGCTACTTTTAACCTCAAAATACATTACTGTATATTGCTCATTAGTGACATCCTTCCAGATGGATATCCAAAAGTTCTCAAGAGAAGTAGTGATCTATGGGGTCAACCAGTCGAAAAGGAAGCGGATGTCAACTGAAGACCTTGGGTGATAGTCACGCTATTATCATGCAGTGACAGAAATAGGAAACTGTGAACCATTGGACTCCACTCTAACGCAGTGGCTGAATGGTTTACGCGTTCGGTGAGAAACCTGAAGGTCCTGAGTTCGATCCGTAACCGAGTTGTGGGTGCGTACTGCTGAGGAAACCCATACTAGGACGAAACAGCTATCCAGTGGTTCTCCAACTGGTGAATACTACCTGCAATCGAACAATTGATAGCTTAGTTATCCAATACTAACGAGATACAACTCCGCAAAATATCATTTACACTAGCATATCCAAAATACTTGGTTACTAAGATAACCACTAGTCAAACACGACGTATATTAAAGTATTCTATGTAGATTTTCAAATGGTTCAACTCCGGACTCCTTTATATGAATGCTTTCATCTGTCTAAGAACAAACATTTCCCAAAGCATATGAATAATGAAAACTCTGCGAAAGATTCACGAAGGTTTCTCTTCTCAATATAAGAGTAAAACCTGTGCACTGTGGTAGAATGTAATTCAAGCTTAGTTAATTTATTATATGTACCACACAGTGACGCAACAATATTATTATTTACTAGAGAACGCTTCCAACACAATTTATTGTCCATAGTCATATCAAGATAACGCTTTATATAGTTCTAAATCCTCTTACCTCCTTTACGATATAGGTAGTAGGGATTTCCTATATGTCTGAGACAGGTACTGATTTATTCCTGTTGCGTGTATTTGGGGTGTTGATTCGATAAACAGAGATTCAGTTACCAATCTGTTTTCCTTGGTTCATTACCTTACTAGGATCTAAAAATTTTGATCTGGCTAGGTTTTTGTGCTCAGATAGTCTAACTGACTATAGTCGACTACTTTGACCTATGTATTTGGAGTTATCACAGTAGCAACTGCTTAGACAACCAATTATGGCTCTTCGTTATATCAAAAACTAGCTTTCTGGTCAAAATATCAAAACTATATTACTTAGTTCAGTAGTTGTTAGGATGGCCTTTAAAGTTACTCTCTATTTGACCTAGAAATCGTTACAAGGGATCTGGATAAAGTAAATTATCCTGCCTAATTGGATCAATAGGATCTTTTAACCAATAAAAGTTACCACCTCTAGGTGAGTTTTCAGATTTCAATAACAACCTAATCCCATCTGGTTTAAGTTTTATTCTGAAATTCAAAGCACCTCAGAGAGATTATATAAGATTCTGAATAAGGCTGGGATTAGAGTGATATTTAAACCTAAAAACTCACTCTAAAATAAGCTTTGTAGGTTAAACAGTCCTACTGATCCGAGTAAGCAGAATAATTTAGTTTACTAAATCCTTTCCAACGATCGCGAGGTTAAGTAAACAGGTCAGATTGGGCGATCAGGGTCAATCTGACTATCCGAGCACAAAATCCTAGCTAGATCAAAATTGGCAGACCCGAGGAGGATAAGGAATTTAGAAAAAGGCTTAGCCATAATTATGCATGCAACTACACACAACCGCACAATAGAACAGAGTAAGGTGACAGTCCTTGAAACTAACTCACTGGGGTACATAGTAATAGGAATAAATCAGTACCTGTTTCAGACATATAGGAAATCCTACTACTCATATCATAAAGGAGGCAAGAGAATTAGAACTATATAAAGCATATCGCACAAACTCGAAGATCTACAGGCGAAAACCAACAAGTTGGCAGAAGAGACGAGGCAGCGAAGACGGAACTTCCTTCAGGTGAACGCAGAGAAGACAGAGGTGATGACGATGCCTAAACAGCAACAAGTAGAAATTACCATGAACGAGAGAAATTTGAAGGGAGTTGTCTCTTTCACCTACCTAGACAAGGTAGCATAGTTTCAACTACAGGCGGTAGCACAGATGAGGATGTCGAAGCCAGCATCGGAAAGACAGAAAAACAGATCTTCACCAGTCTAAAATCAGTGTGGAGATCTACTGCACTCAGCATAAAGAACAAGATACAGATTTTCAACACCAACGTCAACTCAGTGCTTCCATATGGTTCAGAAACTTGGCGCTTCACGAAAAACATTTCCAACAAACTACAGACATTCATCAACAGCTCCCCTCTACCCTCACTCCATACTCAAGATCACATGGCAAGAATAATAAGAATAAGCAAAGAACAAAGAACTCATTACGTCTGGCAACGAACAAACCAAGAATCTATCGCTCAACAAATATGTAGAAAAAGATAGTGGAAATGGATTGGATTGGACATACACTGAGAAGACAATTCGGGGACACCATGCGCCAGTCTCTCGAGTGGAAGCTAAGTGGGAAAGGACGAGTTGGGCGTCCGAGGCAATGGTGATATGGAGGAGATAGTGTGAGGAAGAAATGAAAGCTTATGGGCATTGGTGGAGTCAGGTTCAAAAGACTGAAGAGAACAGGGTGAAAGAGAGACATGCTACTGAAGCCCTATGTTCTACTAAGAACCCAAGGGACAAATAATAATAAAGCATGTCTCGAAGTTGTAGCGTTACCTTGGTATGACTATGGACAATAAATTGTGTCGGAAACGTAATCCAGTAAATAATAATACTGTTCTGTCACTGTGTGATACATTTAATAAGTCAACTAAGATGGAATTCTCACGCAAGAATAGCTCAAAAATCATCTTAATTATGATTGTAATGAGAAATATAACAGAATTCATGCTGAAACGGGTTTATTGCACAAGCCACAATAAACAGAATATGGTTTGTATCAGAGATCAACAACTTAAGTATTGAATACTTAAGACGATAAGCTATCAGCAATAACCTAAAAAAAATATACATAATGCAACTCAACCAACAACTACAAGCACCATTATGCATTTGGTCTTCAGTCATGTCTGTCGTAAGCACTTCTATGAAAGGTTTCATGTTGACTTCTTTATAACATTTTAGCAGATGACGCACAACTTTGAAACTTACAACTCAATAGTCACTATCACAATGCTCAAACGACTAAACAACAACTCTTAAGATAACACTACAGACTATAAACAGACAATGAAATCGAAATCCACTGAGCAACCTTGTGTACATTCGTGCCATACCTACTGTATGAGGGCTAATGATGATACTATATACAGCTCCTGAAACCACCGTAAGTGGAGTAGTGTTCGAACTCTTGACTGATTAGTTGAAAGTCATCTCCCAGCATTAAAAAGTTACAACTCTACAACAGGCAATGAATGCACTATTTGTAAAACTTGAAAACGTAGAGAAAATACTAGCTACTTATTTGGTCCGGATATTTTTAACGATAAAGCAAAGTAATACGATTAGATAGATGATTATTACGCAAAATCAACTAAGCTAAAAACCAAGAACAACTAAAGTATTTAGCTATTTCACCCTTGTCTACGCATGTATGAAGATGTTCGACTTGAATGATTATGAGAACATATGCACATTCATGATAATGAAAGTCGAAATATGTCATAAAATGATTCAAAGGCAATATATACTCATATCTTGACTTTTTCGTCTATGATTCAATTGGATAGTGTCAAGGGGAGTATGCTGCTGTTGAAGAGTCTCACATAAAGATGAAACAAATGTGTAGTAATGCAAATCTGCGGTGAAGACAATAGTTAAATATCACTTTATATAAACCATAAAAATAGTAAAAGAAAAAAGTGAACAAATTATAATTAACAGATATACATACCTATTCAAATTTTTCGATAAATCCAATGTTACATAATTCGATGGAAACCATCCTATTCGTTGTGGTTTACCTTCAGTAATTAGAATTCCACGCCACCAACCATCTGAACTCTTTTCTAAAACACGTATTTTATCACCTCTTTCAATTGATAATTCATCTGATTGACAAGCTGGATAATTGAAACGTGCTTGACAAATTTGACGACTTAAACTTGTCCCAGTACCAAAATAGGATGAATTGTCTAAATTCCCTGTCATTAGACCAGTTTGTTGAAATTGTGTCAAAGAAACATTTAAAGTACCATGTCCATTCTGATAATTTGGTAAAGAAATATTTCCACTGGAATGCTGTATACATATGTTTAAATAAAGGAATGGAGACACATTAGTATGCTTTATTGATGAAAAAGAATAAATAGTTTATAACAGAATTTATTTGATCGCAGTAAATTAATCATCAAATAGATAAAGACATTGACAAAACTCAGGATCTTCTGAACACATTGAGCAGAAATCTGAGTATTTTTAGCATGTATTCCGCACCTGTCAAATGTAAGATGATGATGTTCCACAACTGGTCTGAAACTATTCCTAGTTTAAAGATAGAGAGTGAAGTGGTGGGATGTGTCGACCACTAATGAAATCTCAGCTTGCATACAGAAAACCCGTTTGGCATTTGCCAACTTGCGTCATCTGTGGAGTTGAGTGACAAGATATCTGACTATCTACCAAAAGAAGAATATACTGTGATGCAGTCCGTTCAATTCCTTTGTACGGTTGTGAAACATAATAGTTCAGAGAAGAAGACATGAAACGGTTACAAGATTTTCACCATAGGTGCTTTCGTAGCATTGCTCGTGTTTGGTAGATTCACCAATTGATTGACGTTGAGGTCAAGCGGAGTACCCTTTGCTTAAGCAGGATAAGTCATTTGATTGATAAGGTCATGAACCCCTATCAGCTAAGGTCGTTTGGGCATGTACTGTGTAAGCCAAGCCACCGCCTACCTCGACATGTTATGCTTCTAGGGGAAGTTGGATTAGATTGGAAGAGGGTTCAGCATAGCCAGACTAAGCCATGGCACCAATCAGGGAAGTCTTTTACTGTTGGCCTGAGCTGTATGGGGAAGATGTAAACTGCCTAGCTAAGGTCTCTGAGACGAAAGGAATCAGTGGTTGAGGATTGTTGGTGACATGGCCGATGTATTCACTTTTTCAATACCATTGTGAAGTGTGGTAACTTCGGTCAATGCACTTGTGTGTATAAGGTTCTATGTTGATTTTGTCTGTCGATCTGTCAGTCTGTCCGGATTGTTGTATAACGGTTCAAGCTACCATATCTTATCAAGGGAAAGGTACCAAGAAGGAAAAGAGACATAAGAATGTAATCAAAGTTACATATTACTTAAAATCTCGAACCTCTAAGTTTGTTATGAAATATCTTGATATCTATGGTGTGAAAGGAACACAAATTTTATGACTGCATACATGAACTCCACCAAAGTATGTACAGAACCCCTTGTTATTTCACACCAAACAATTCTATGTCTGCACATTCAACATACATCACAACTACTGAATAAGATGACATAAGGTTGAGTAAATCTCAGTGTCAAATACTAAAAATCAAAGCTACAATGTAAAAATTACTATTCCGTTTCAATCAGTTTTATTATAATTCAAGTAATCACTTTTAACGAAAATATAATAACTATGGTGTAAAAATACAAAAGTATACATACGAGTTGAAGATCTGTAGTATAGATTCCCTTTTCTTCACATCCAAAATTCGTACAAAAATATTCGTCATACATATTTACTAGACAATAATCAGTTAGAGTTTGATTGTCAAGAATATAGTGTGCAAACTACTAGCTAGTAACCAGTTCGTGTACATAATCCAATCTTACAGGGTATCACTCGTGAACTGAATAACCTAATAACAGATTCGTTGACTTCAATATTGAGTGAAGCAGGTTCAAATCCCAAAAAAATTATCGATTTCCTGAAGGTTGCTGATACAACATGATGATGAGTGCCAAGGGGTGCGAAACCTAGGTCCGGAGCTTCCCGGCAATTAACTCCGGATATGTAACAACATCCGCAGTGTTGCACTAATTAGCCTAGTGGTCGTATTACAGACTTGATAAATGGGAGCTGTGGCTGTGTTTTAAGTGAACGACTGTCATTTATACTGGTTGATGATTGAAGGTGAAATGAAAAATTAAACCGGAGCCGGATTCGAACTACCGACCAACCAGTTTCCAGCCCGATGCTCTACCAACTCAGCTACACTACGATGTTCAACTACTGACAAGATTTCTATTTCACTTCAATCACCAAGAATTTTACCTGATGACTGGCATGTGAATTCATGACGCATTACTACCGTTTGATCGTATTCACACTGGTTTTCCAGTGAGGACTTCTCATTCCAATCGAAATGTAACTGAAATAGAGAGTGAGAGCATGATATTCATTATCATTTAACTATCTGAGATAGGTGTGGTTTGGCAGACTAGTGCTTATACTGGTAGCTCAGTTAGTAGAGCTTAGGACCAGAAACCCGGTGGTCGTCGGTTCGCATCCGGCCGCTGTCCAAACTTCTATTTCACCTTCAATTATCAGCTAGTATAAATACAAGTCTGCCAAACCACAGCTATCTCAGATTGTCAGTCAGTGGGGTACAGGTTCGAGTCGAGCCCCACAGCTAGGTAGTAACACTATCCCTCATACAATAGGTGTGACTCATTGCCTACTGCACAGATGTACACAAGGTGACTGAGTGCGTTACTTAATAGTTGGTAATTAGTTAGTAATTAGTCAAGCTACACTGGTGTCACGACGTTGGTTCACCAACTAGTGAAGATACGATTAACACTAACTTTCTGATCCTTTAGCCTCCCAGTATCGATTTCTCAGTCACACAACAGAACCAAGTATTCCATGGTCACCTTTTCACTAATCTTCACCTACCTATTCTCTCTTCTCCCATACACCTGTCTAATTTAATAATATTCTTTCACTATTCACTCCCGTATTATTAGTATACGGTGCTGTAAAGCATAATAATTTGAAGTAAGGCACTTCTGTGTCAAGTTCCATAATGATTTCTCATTTCCAGTATAAATGAACGTTTTTAAATGCTAACCGAATCTAGATGCTATCTGTAACTAATTAAAATAAATTTCAAATATAATATAATGTTTCGGATGCGGTTCTCACCACCCAAATGTAAATTGCTGCTTCAGGATTGGTCTTCAATGGAGCCACGGCTAACAGTAGAGAGTAAAATGGTTGAATGTGTCGACCACTTCACTTACCTGAGAAGTAGGATCAGCCCTGCCCTAAAGCCTCAGTGGCCGATAAAATCTCTGCACAGATACAAAACGCTCGGCTAGCTTTCGCCAACTTACGCCACATATGGCGCCATTGTGATATCCAATTGTCTATTAAAGGCCACGTGTACTACGCAGCAGTCCGCTATGTCCTATTGTATAACTGTGAAACATGGCCATTGAAAGTGGAAGATATGAGAAGGCTGGCTTCAGGTGTTTGATCACCGTTGCCTTTGTAGTGTAGGACGTATTCCGTGGTGTCACCGCACCACGTGAGTAATGCAGAAGTCAGGTGTAGAGTTTTAGGGAGTAGAGGTAAATCAGTTGACGAGTTTACGGATCTTCATTGACTGAGATGGTTGGGACACGTACTACTTATGTCTAGTCACCGATTGCCTTGTCACACAATGTTGGTCGAAGTAGGCTCGGTCTGGGAAAAGGCCTGAGGTGGCCAGACTAAAACATGGCATCAATGCATGAAGTGTTTGACTGTTGTTTTGAGCCAATGTGTGGGGGCGATGCAGACTAGGTGGTTGGGGTGTGTGGGACAAGAGGAAGCAGGGGTTGGAGATTCTAGGTGATGGCATGGCTGAGAACCGATGTGAGTGGCGCAGATGTATACACACATTATCCTCATGTTAATGACGCTATACCGAATCTCACCATTTTGTCACTCCTCTTTCCTTTCTTCTCATACTTTATATTTCTTTTGACTGCATTCACTTATCTACATCCTTCACCTCACTACCTTTTTACTTGATGTACTGATATGAGGTGTGGCAAGTTGGACCGTTACGCAGTAATGCCTGGTCCTATGTTGATATTGATGATGATGATAGTACAACTCACTTGGTTGTGGTTAGCAGAAGAAGAATCCAGAATGCGCGTTTCGTGCTATTTGGGACTCGTCAGCTGGATGTACCTGTATCCCAGTTAGTGACGTTGTTCCCATTGAGACTCAAACCTTATACCCATCGCTTCAAAAGCCACAGCGTTATCCAATAGACCACTGAACTACACTTATTGTGTAAAGGCTTGTAATACTACCCTGTTATTCAAGCAGAACCGAACTCCAACTAAAAATCCGCTACTTGAAAGTCGAGTTTCTAACCAACTACTAATGTATCACAACTTTGTAGTATGTAACATAGTTGAAAAGTTCATATACTTCATATATATCATTATAAAATCAATCCTACAAAATTAGTTACTACTTTAAAGATAGAAAAGTGCATTAAATAATCTTTTCAGATCATGTGATACACTTTTTCAATATCATAACTTATCCAATTACCTTTAGAATATGAAGAGTTACGGAGTTCTCTTTTTAATTGGTCGTCAATCAGGCTTCTTAAACAAAGTAAAATTTACCAACACACTGATGTTACACATCAGAAACATCGATCTTAAGACTTCTAAATAAGGATTTTTTTTAGTGTCAAACTATATACTGGTGTAAAGTAGACAGCTTAATGTGTATTTCAAGGAGTGGGAAAACATTATTATCTGACAAAGCCAAAGTAACAGAATCTTATATTTGATAGGTCCAAAACGTATATATCAAAGGGGCTCTGAATTTTGCTCGAAGCGTTCAAAAGACCCCATATTTTATCAGTGAGATTTAGTGATTTTTCAATTTGGTATTCATTATGGACTGATATCAGTTGGAGGAACATTGGAAACCTGAGAACATTCGACAGCTCTTTCGTCTTACTATACGACTCTTCAACAGTCCGCACCAATGATCCAGCACCCCCAAGGATACAACCCACGACCTTCAGGTTTCGTGGCCACCACGTTGATGATGATGAATACCGACTTGGAAAACCACTAAATCCCCACAACACCACCAAATCAAATTCATCTAGTGTTCACTGGTGACTAGCTTCGAGAGGTGATTCCTCAAGTTCCAATGAGAAGTCGTGACCGGTGAGGTACACCTGGTGGCTGGGAGGACAAATACTCAACGATGACATTGGGTGGTGGTCGCGCTATATCGTGAACTGACAGAAGTTTGGGATACGGATCATTAAATTCCAACCCAGTGGTCGAATGGTAACCTGCTGGCCACGAAACCTGGAGGTCGTGGGTTCGATACCTGACGGGTCGAGGTCACGGGTTCGCACTGCTGAGGAGTCCTGTGTTAGAACAAAACAGATGTCTAATGCTTCCAGGTTCCCAATGTTCCTCCAACTGATGTCAGTAGATGATGAGTACCAACTTGAAACATAACAGTTTTCTGTTAGACCTTAATACGTCTATAGCTTGATTCAAATAAACAGCCCCTAGTAGTAATGATATCATCAACCTGAATAAAAGTATTGATGAAACTAGTCATGTATGCAAATGGATAGTACCTGAGGATAGGCTGGTTTTGTATCCGATTTTGACAGCCAATTGACTGATTCACTATCAACAGTTTTGTTTGCCTCTTGAAATCTCTCACCATGTTGAACAGCTGTTTGACTGTGTAATGAAATAGGAAATGTATTATTAGGCACTCCTTCATGAAGTCTCATATCTGCAAATGCTTGACTAGGAGGAGTTAGAACACTTGTAGACCCAGATATTTCAACAACCTTTGAGCCAAGAGATTCAACACTTTCATGTCTCAAATCGAAAGCTGCAAATCCATTACTTTCATCTGGAGTAGGCGAAGACGGATTGGATTGTCTAGTACTAAGTGTACCTTCCTGTCGACTTTTTCGTCGCCCCAAAGTATTGCGTAAACTTGAAAAGATACCCTACATAGAAGAATATTATTCTTATACTTCACTAAACACTCACCTGTTTTGATCGTTTCACATAATTACTGGGTACATAGCCTGTATTACCGAATGAATTCATCACTTTCCACCAGTGTTGGCTATCGTCAATAAGTGTTAATCGTTCACCTTTTTGAATACCAAGTTCATGACCATCTGATGCCTTATAATCAAATTTTGCTATTACAAAATCCGTATTCTTATGAGACATTGTCTTGAATAAAAGAAATCACATATATGAAATAATAGTGAATAAAAAGTTCAAGTATTTAAAATCAATTCAGAAAATGTCTACTACAACAATGACATGCAACGAAGTTTACTAACCATATAGAAATTTACAGTCGAATCAAATAAAAAAGGTCACAGTAATCTTGTGGACATGCATGCAGTATGTAAAGAATTACAACTATGATGTGAAGGTTAAATGATACTATCTGGCTGCCCACACCTCGTAACTACTGAAGTAGGGTTCGAACACATGACCCATCGTTTGAAAGATAAATGTCATAGCTCCACCAAATTTACAGTACAACTCTTAAATACACAGACAATACAAATCCGTTGAACAAATCGAAGTAAATAGGGGAAGGGAGTAGCATGCACTATAGAACAACAACTCGTAGACAGATAGGATAACGATTATTTGCGCAATAAACTTATTGACCGAAGTAAACCTTCAGACACAGAATAACATTTATACTCAGTTGCTAACTAAGGCTTATTCCATATATCACCATCATCATCGAGATTAACACAGGATCAGGTATTACTGTGTAACGCTCCAAGTTGCAACACCTCATATCAGCACATCAAGTAATGGAAGATGAGGAAATAAAGAAGAGAGGAAGGAGGAATGAGAAAATGATGACATTAATTATGATGGTTAAGATGACGATAATGTGCGCATGCACCTGCGCCACTAACATCGATTCTCAGCCATTTCACTTACAGTCTCCAACTACTGGTTTCTCTTGTCCTGTGGACCCCAACTGGCTAGTCTGTATCGGGTTACATGGCTCAAACAAACAGTCAAGGACCTTATCCATTGATGCCATGTTTTAGTCTGGCCGATCGCAGCCTGAACCTACTTCGGCCAACATTGTGAGATGAGGCCGACGGTTGCAAGGCAAACGTAACACATGTTCCCAGCCATCTCGGTCGATGAAGACTCAACATTTATATAATATATATATATATATATATATATATATATATATATATAGGCCACCTATTTTGTTGAAAAGTTACATAATTACTAGTTAATGAAAGCTTGAGAAATTTTAACAACTACAAAAGAGTATAACATACTAAGAACACCAACCATCTAATGTTTTACGTGGATATATTAACTGTGTATCCAATATTAACCAAATATGCAAGTATATGGCTCTTAATTATTCTTAATTATCTTCTACTCAACCACAGTGAATGATGCTCACAAATTCAATCAACAGTTTGCCTAGTGATACAATTAATGTTACTAAATTCATAGTATTTGAACTGCTAAATGCGTTGAAAACAGACAGTTTCTACTAATTTGTTGAAAACTGGATATTATATCGACTAAAGATGAGGAATGAGTTTTTCAAGTCACGTACTATACAAAGGACGTTTATCATAAGTCGCAATCTTAACAAAGAATTTACTTTTGGGTACCAGTTTCTAGAAATTCCTCTGTACGACTTGTCACACGCCTTGTCTACCCAGTCACCATTTCGTCCCATCAACTGTCATTAAGCATATTACAGATAGCGCGAAAAGTCTCTCCTACACGGTCATTACAGGAAGGCTACTAGGTGGTGTTGAATTAGGTTGGAAGAGAGGTAAGAGTCATCATCATTATCAACATAGGACCAGGCATTACTGCGTAACGGTCCGAGTTGCTACACCTCATATCAGCACATCAAGTAAAAAGGTAGTGAGGTGAAGGATGTAGATAAGTGAATGCAGTCAAAAGAAATATAAAGTACGAGAAGAAAGGAAAGAGGAGTGACAAAATGGTGAGATTCGGTATAGCGTCATTAACATGAGGATAATGTGTGTATACATCTGCGCCACTGACTTCGGTTCTGAGCCATATCACCTAGGGTCTCCAACCACTGGTTCCTCTCGTCCCGTGGACCCCAACCACCTAGTCTGCAATGATGATAAAGACGTATCATCAGTCGATAAAGTTGGTGATTGTTGGTCTGAGCCATGTAGGAGGAAGTTGACTGTCTAGATGAGATTTCTGAGACGCAAGGAATCAGTGGTTGAGGACTGTTGGTGACATGGCTGAAAATCGGTGACAGTAGCGCAGATGTATTCTACAGCTTGAATATTCGCAGTAACCTTCATCTTCAAACTATTTCTTCCCTCACAAAACTTTACTTCCATAACACTTTTTTTATCCATTCATTCTCCGCATACTACTGTTAAGTGTGGCAACTTGGGCCGATGCACATGTGTATGTGTGGGGTTCTACGTCGGTTTTGCCAGTCAGTTAGTCCTTCCGAAAATTCTACACCTGACTTTTACGTTACTGATGTAGTAACACCACAACACACGACTTGTGCTACGAAGGCAGCCGCGATCAAACACGTGAAGCCTTCTCATGTCATTTGCCTTCAATGGCTATGTTTCACAGCGATATGGTAGAACAGAGCGAGATGAAGCACAACACAATCGACCATTAATAGACAATCCCATATCATGCCGGTATTAAAGATGGCGTAAGTTGGTGAGCACCAAGCGAACGTTTTGTATGTGTGCAGAGATTTCGTCGGTCACTGACCCACTTAGAGCTGAGTCAACTCCCCAGGTCAACAAAGTGTCCAATAAATTTAATCAGTTCATCCCCCATTATTAAACAAATCACAAAGCTTCAGATTTCTGGTTGAATGATGTTTTTTTATATGATAGCTTTCTACTCAGTTTCTTGCTGAATGCAGCCTTAGTATTCTCATTGTTAACCAGCACTATCCATGGTCTTGTTGCTGTAGATTCCGCACGTCCATACAGATGCCAACGTATGCGTGCTTAGAACGAACGCACAACCGCTGCCCAAACACATGCTTTGAGAAGAGCAGTAATCTTCCACTGACCCTCTCCAGAGATAACTGATAGCAACATGATCTGTTTGTGTCTATCGTTGAGGTTGGTAGATACCGTCAGACAATCTCTCTTTATGTCTGAAGTCCACACTGGTCAGAAATAGATGACTGTCCGACCATAGTTGAAGCAAATGATCGCCATTATCCTTTTGTTCACCTGAGATTCCGAAAGTGCCACCTAAGTGTCTTTCTGTCTGACTTCACCTGCCCAGTTGTGTACTGAAATCAACTGCAACAACTACCACGTCTGAACATCTGTTTCCAGTGGAGCTGTGGCTCATTACTTTCGGGAGATGATTTTCAACCAATCGGTCATGGGTTCAGACACCGCTCCACCTACAGAGGTTTAGACAGCCAGGTACTATCACTAGCTCTCATACAATAGGTGTGACTCATTAACTACTGCAAGAATGTGCACAAGGCTGCTGAGTGCATCTCGATTTGATTTAGCATTCAGTAGGAGGCTAGACAGTTTTCGGTGTAACTCATCTTTCACTTCTTCTAAACTGCAGTCAGTGGGTGCGTAAGCAGATATTACGAAGAGACAACGGCAACTTTTACTATTCCCTTTTGTCCTCACTGTCCCGTTCAATCGAACAGAGCACAGGTGACTGTCAACCGGAATCCAGTCAAGTAGTGCAGTTGATGCGGATTCACCATACTGGGGGTGAGGCTGGGTGAATAACCGTACTTTAATTCTGTATGCGTGTCTCAAAAAAACATCACACACCTACGGTCCCAGATGCTAGTCTCAACTAGCTTAGCTTGTTCACCTGATTCGACCGTGAGTATGGATATTGAAAGCTCCAATGTGTAGTTTCAAGTGGTTTCAGGAGACAAAGAATGTTATTCCGTGAACTCAAATCGTTGTCAAGAGCTATAACCCCGGAAGAAACTAAAGATGATTTACGATTACTGACCGAGAGATTTGAAGGGGGATTAGATAGTAGGGATGTGGAAAGTGGACAGTGATCTAAGGGAACTTGAAGATTGATGGAGTTGAGGGTGATTGACACTTTTCGGCTGACCACACTGTGGAAGGCCATTTCTTAAGGTACCCGGTAGAGAAGGGTTAGTATGTGACCGCCGAGCTCGAACGATATCTGCTTGAGGCCAGTTACACACGATTTTTTTGCAAGTTTTGGATTTTAGTTTGTCAGTGTTGAAGCCAACTATGAACAAAGGTTGCCGGCACCAGCATACCACGGGGTAGGGAGGAGTGCTATTTCTAGGGTTACCCCTTCCAACCCACCTCTTGCCGTGGGGAAGACAAAATCAGTGGCGCTGCTGACCATCCAAGAGAAACACCATACTGCTGCCACGACCCCGTCCAGCCAGCTGTACGACCTCGCCCTTGGAAAGCCATCATAGCGTATGAATCTACATTATAAGGGTAACTGCTTTTTGTCTAGCCATAATCCAAAAGACCTTTTTGGTATGGCAGGATCTCAAAGAAACAAGTGTCCCATTAGCGTAGCTAGTTGGATTATTTTGATATGCAAGCCCGACCATCACGACTAGGTAGCATCGATTGGTCGAGTAAGTGGTTAGTCGGTAAGTAATACCGTATAACTGTGTGCTACATCAAATAAACTAATGTATTACGAAAATTTAAGAGTAGCTATCTGTCTCAATGAAGTCTTAACTGCAGCTGTTTATTTAGAGAAACTTTTATAGTAGAACCAGGATAATAATCAGTTTCGCTCCTGTGTGGAGAGTCACTTTTGACTATGATTTGTAAAATAACGGAGGTCTGCATCGATGCTTTAGTTAGACGCCTAGATACCGACAGTTTTCCTGCAGTTAGGAATTCACCCCCTAAGAATATGTCCTCGTTGAGGTTACTTACGGCTAGTGAGTTGTTATCCTGTTTTCATACCATCAATCTTCAATGTTCGGTAACCACTAGATAATATCCTGGAAAGGAATACATAATGGAGCTGGTCAGAAGAATAAGAAGCAGAACCTTGTCAAATGATGATGCATAATAACCAAACTTCACCAAATTAATAATCACTACTTAAACTACAGTTCAGTCGAATTCACGACTGCCTAGTAGTTTATTCCATAATATTTTCAGGAAGTAATTCTATTGATCGAACTAATTATTTTTCTGTCG